ATACATTAGCAATCGAAGAGAGATACAACACTATGGTCACTCACCTAGTCCCAATGACCAAGAGGTCGAGATGGGGACTAGGGAGCGCCTAGGGGGGTCCTTATATACTAGAGGGGCTGCTTAGCAACCAAGGACAAGGCGCGAGAGCGAGGCAGTGAAGATGACAAAGGGGGAACAAAGGGCGAGAAAGAAAAGGCAAGGGCATGGCGATCACGGGAACGTAGCATGCGGCTGTGGGAACGTATCTACAGTGTCCAAACTGGGATGAGCTAGGAAAGGAAACGGTCCGGAAATGGAAGGTGGGCGTCAAAGGGAAGGGAATGGGCGGCAAAAAGGGGCGTCTGTCCAACGTCCGTGACACCGATCCTCAATGAAAACCATCAGAGCAGTGCGGAGTTGGAGGAGTCGCCGATAGGCAAGATAGATGGAAGTCCAGCGAGTGAGAACACCTCGGATGACCGATAATGGGGAGTCGCCAGGACGATGTGTCGGTAAGTTGAGTTGTACGTCTCGTAGGATAGCAAGGAGGTAAGGATGACTCCGCAGCCATCGGATGATTTCGTCCGCAATCTTTGTCCAGCCAAGGATACCAGCATTGGCACTCTTGAAGTAGTCATGAACAACCAGTTCAATCTATGAGGTCATGCAAATGAGTATCTTTATCATGAGTTCAGAACATAGCTTGCCTGGTGAGCATAACAATCAGGTGCTATAAGATGTGGGAGCTCCTTCACGATCTCGACACGGGCTTTACGGGACTCTCCACTGCAGTCTGAGGTGACAGCAATAACAGAAACCTGCCACTCGTCCCGTAAAAGCTTAAGAACCTCTCGAAGCATCTTTAGGAGGTTTTTGGCTGTCTTTGGTTCACTAGATGTGTCATAAGTGCGGACAGTGTACACTCGTGTCTCCTAAGATGTATTTGGATCAACCATGAGTGTTATGGACATGTTTAGCAATAGTATTTGACAATACGTTCTTGTCCGGTATAGTCAGCATGAACGCAATGATATGGTGCCGGTTCTTCGGATTGAAACCATCGCACTGTACCGTTCCGAGCTTCTGACAGCATTCGGTCTGAGCTCGTGCTCGGTAGACCTTGACCTCGGCAGGGATGATGCGTGACGTTAGAACCTTACGGGTAGGATTGATCACACCAACAGGGAGAAAGTCGTCGCAAAAGCGTAGCCACTGGGGGCTTTCCGTCCATGATAGGGACCAGCTACCTGCGGCGGTGAGACGAGCAATGTGGGACTCATAGAGCGCTTGACGGGCATCATCCCACTGCAGCTTGGCTAGCTCAGATTGGGGTGTGGATGTACCAAGCAGAGAGGAAGTAGCTGTGCGACGGAGTCGCTTTGTAGTGGGGGAATCAGTGGGTACAGTGGGGCTTCCATGGCGCTTGAAGAGAGAGGGCAGGCTTGGGCTCGGAGTTCCGGAGGGGCTCGGTTGGGTAGAGAATGTATACAGAAGCTGTGGAGACTGGGAGTAGGGAGTGGAAGATGCCGTCGGAGTATCAGGAGGTGGAAGAGCAGGGATTGAAATCGGGGTTAAGGAGGGAGTGGATGCGAGCATTGACGCTGACGGGGGAGTCACACCCATCGCAAGAGAAGGCCCTGACTGCACTGTACCAGGCGCAAGGGGGAACGGAATAGGTTGGGTAATGTACGGACCAGGTAGCTGGGCTCTGGCCTTTCCCTTCTCACGGCGGGGAGACAGATGCTCCCTCTCGTGCTCCTGCCCTGCTTGCTGCCGGACATCGTCCGGAGTCAAGTCACAGTCCCGCAGATGAACGAGCATGGCTGGGGTTGTTGCGGTGATCCATCGATGCGGAGCAGTGCTCGGTAGGTCCCATACTAAAGAACATACAATAGGCTGAGCAAGCATGTTTTTGATAGCACAGAGAATCTACTTACAGGCACGTTCAATCATAGCTGTATCACGTACAGGCATACCACGAAGGGAATCCTCGCGCTGTTCCTTTGTAACACGATGCTGAAAGCAAGGTTTGCACCAAACCTTAACCTTATCGCCATGAAGGGCCTTCGCATCATTGTCGATGTAGCCAGGGTGGTCATAGAAGTGTTTACGGTACCAGCGTCGTCGGCTGAGGGACACCGGGTTGGTGGTCTGGCGAGCCTCAGTGTATGCAGCCATGATGGTTGTATGCAGAACATATTCATTAGCTACAATATATACAGAGCGATACATGAAGGGTGAGTAAGCTAGAGCCCATCGATGTCAGGAGTCCAAGAGTAGCAGCGAAATCGACAGAGCAATCCCAATATGTCGATTGAACGCATTCGCGATAGTGCGTCGTCCAATCATACATGGTGCCTGGGCGCCTGCACAGGTAGACCGCCCTGTGTGAAAGTTGACGTGCGCTTTTGTGCACCTGTAGCCTTCGTCATCAGTTGACAAGTCGACAAAAGTCGACGACAACCCGGTGTCGACCGGCACATCACTGTCGGGCGCGGTGATGATGGACGTACCCACGCAACGAGCCTGAGGTCGACGCAGGCGCCCCGCCGCACGAGTTGCATTTCCTCGAAACGACAGCGGGAACCAACGCGCCGCCGCCGCCGCCGCCGCACGCTCGAGCCCCGGTCTACGTCTGATAATTGAGCTTCCGCGCCAATCAGTCAACGCGGAGCCCGTCTTGCGGTGCGACGCAATTAAGCATCCGCCCGACGGTCGAGACCCATGCGCAGATGGAGGACTCGGAAGAAGCCCAGGGTCGTCCACAACGTCCAAAAACCATATCAGATGCCGTGCATCGCGATGGGCGATACGGTGGGATGCTCTGGTGCGTGGTGGACGCCTGCGTGGATTGGGGGTGGGCACGATGGCGGTCTCGTGCGTCTCAGAAGCGGCCCCTTCAGTGGATGCAGATTCTATGCATGGCAGGTTCCAGGAGAGCGTTGTCGTGCCACTAGGCCAGAGGTTCCCCGGGGATCTCTATAGATCTCTGACAGGCGTGTCCACAGAGGACGCACGGCGCGGCGACGTACGGCATCTGCTTGCATTCCAACGCAGCCCGGATCACATCCTCCCACCCACGCCTGTGGCCGACCATCACGAGGTGTTACAATTGTGTGCGGTGAGACGACGGGCGAGTGGACGACGGGCATCATGACAAGGCATAGCGACTAAATCAACTTGAAATTCAGGCGCTCACACGACCCGTCAAGGTATAGATGAACATCGCGATGATATATTCGCAGTGGGTGCAATGAGCGGCTAGGTACAGTGTACAGGACATACATCACACTGAATATGTTGTACACGTACTGGTGATATACGATGAGGAAGATTGGCGAAACGTACGTAGTACTAAGTTAGCTCGGCCAGGCTCACAGTCCGTCGTGTGGTAGGTGACAGTGCAAAGGCAGGCAGGGAGATACGTAGGCTATGTGGACAAGCATGAACGGCACCGCAGAAGATGCATGATGCAGGAGACGAGATGCAAACGTGTTGAAAGTATCAAACCTTGAAGTGGACTGATAATACACGATGCGATGAAGAAGCGTGAAGATGAAGAGACAAACAACGCATTGCGGTATGATGGTGATGATGCACAGCAGTACGTGATATCAAACGAACCAAATATTGAGCAGAAAGGAGGTTATTGATGTACAGAAGCGAGGAATAGAGCGATGCTGTGCACGACAGCGAACTAGGAGCGGAGGAGTGACGGATATGCGACAGCGACGATGCAGATAGCAGGATTATGCGAAACGAGGGTACGGTTGTAGCTTTAAATAGGGTCCCGTGGACACGGCGAGTAGTAGTGTTCCAAAACGCAAAGCGAAACAGGGATTCCAGGCGAATCAACGCCGGCGTGAAGTGACAGGCCTGAGCGGGCGGGGCGAGGCGGGTCCGACAGCATAATGCATATAGTACGCATAGATCAGGCATACAGCATAGATGCATGTCAACCGCCAGTGAAGCCACCCAGCCGAACGCGGTCGCGGAGGCAGGAGCGAGAAAGGATGACAGTCGAAGAGAAGACGATGCTCACGAGATCTCAACGAAGCTGCGCCAGCTACGTGTTGACCCCTCGTTGTCCCCGAAGTCGATGAAGTTCGCCAGGGGAGAAAGCAAGCTTTCGAGCGTGCCTCGTCGGCTCCGGCTCTTCGAACTCGGGGTCGACGGTATCCGCTTCTGAGCCACTGGCATAGACGAGGGAACGACAACATCCTCCTCTTCGTGTAGAACCTCAAGGAGGGCAGGTTGAACGGAAGCAGTGGCAGGGGCGGACGCAGGGCTCGACATCGACGCGGACGAAGGGCCTTCGCTGTCGTCAAGATCAACGTCGTCCTCATCATCGCTCATGCTCATGAAGTTACTCGGACGAGATCCTCGACGCGCCTTGCGTTCCGCGCGGCCCTCCAATGCTGCGAGGGCCGCTGAACGGTTGACCTGGCGTGTCCTGAAAGAGACCGTAGAACGCATCGAAGGTCGAGGCTGAAGAGGCACAGCAGCGGGAGCAGAATGGGGCGCCTCTGCCGACGTAAACGAAGTCTGCATGGCAGATGGGGACGTGGGCGGAGAGAAGGCGAAGTAGGACCGCTCAATGGGCGACAGGAGAGGAGAGATGGGCGACAGCACAGCAGGTTCCGAGTAGGCAGATCGGTGCAAAGATGATGACCCGCTGCTCATGAGCGGCGAGAGACATGTCGATAAAGTGATCGACAGGTCTGTCGGACGCTTGCGCAGAGGAGCGGCGGGAGGTTGCGACGAAGGGACCGGCTTCGCGCCGGGAAGGCCTTCACGCGACGAATGGCGCACGAGGCTTTTGCGGGGACCGAGCTGTGAGAAGGAGGCGAACTGTATGGGCGGACTACCGAGGAGGTGAGCACTGTCAAACGCGATCAGAGTCGGAAATAGCACGACGTACGACATGGGAACCGGGGCGGTGGTGGGAGAGGTGGGAACTGAGCGGCCGAAATGGGTCGTCGCACGCGACGTGAAGGTGTCCTTTCTCCTGAGGCTCATGGAACGCAGTGAGTGGTTCTCGGCGAGATCAAGGGAAAGGAAAGAGTTGCCGGCTTCGCGGCGGCGGCGGGGAGCGAGAGTGAGGAAGATACCATCCTCCTCCGAGGTTGGGGTTTCGTAGAGGCTCTCGACGGTGGCATCGACAGGGAGGCTTTCGCGAACGTCCTTGGAACAGATCTCGACGGAAGGCCGGCGAGAGGTAGAGGGGGTGTTGCTCTCGGAGAGGAGGCCGGAGGTGAAGAGGGGTGAGTACTGGGCAAACATGGTGAGCAGACAGGGGGCACCCCGGTGAGGTAGTTGTGAGTTAAGGCTAGGAGTGGGTCGCCGACGACGGCAGGAACGTCGAGGACGGCAAGGCGGGACGAGGGGACGAGAGGGGAGAGACGGGGAGTATTATATGGCGTCGGGGTCGAGCACGCGTCGCGCGCGTCTTGTTTTTGCTTGGAGCCACACGTGTCTGCTAAGCACCGGGGAGATCGTGATCGGGTCGCCCTGACGCCGCAGCGCGTCTCCGGCCTTTTCACACCCCGTCACCCTTCACACAAGCGGCTCGCATTCGATTCGATTCGCGAGTCAATCTCGCAGTCGATCCCCGCCGTCGTTTGGTATGTGCCACTCGCGCCTTCTGCCATCGTTCCCGCAACGTCTTCTCCGTGTTCATTGTACGGCCTTGGAACAGAAATCCACCGCTTGCCTTCTCCCTTGCAAATATTGTCCACCATCGATCTCACGCGCCTTCGCATGAGTGCTCTGCGGTGGGCAGCGCAGGGCGCCTCCTGCCTGCTATCCGCGCCACAATCAGGCCCATGTAGCTAATTGCGGTGGTTATTAGGGCTCCGCAGAGCGAACGCATTTGGCTGGCTGAGCGGCCCTTTCTCGGAGTGCGTCCCGATGTCTGCTCCCTCTCGCAAACACGCCCCCATAGCAGGACGACCTCAGCCCCGAATCATCCGCCGCTGTTCCTGTTCTAGTTGTTCACCACTTGGTCTCTGATGTCCTGCCCCCCGCAGCCGCCCCGCCCCGACGCCGCCCCAATGCCCCCAAACAGTCGAGCACGCTATCAAACCTCTTCAGGTTCTTGTTCGTATCCTGCCCGTTGCGCCGCGCCCACATCTCAACACTCGCGCAACAGGCTATTCCGTTGATGCTGCGACGACACAGCTCCCGGAGGCAGTAAGCTATTAGCACAAGCGCCGTGCCACTCACACGCTCTCTTACGTATACGGGTCAATATTGACTGAGCGTCCAGGAACGCGCCAGGGCTCTTGTCTGACGCCTGTTCCTGCAGGTTATCGCATCTATCCCTCGAACTACATAGACCGCTTGGGTCAGCACCGAACGTGCAATCCGCAGCTCGAGCGCCAGCACTAGCGCAACATCATATGTACGTTCGTGTACGCCATTCCATTACTACTGCTTCCAGCGCCAGGATGGATTTGAATCAGGCTGAGAAGCCAGAAGCCCGCGCCACTGGTGTTCGTCTCCAGGCTGGGACCAGTGCCTTCGTTCTCCCGCCTTGTGGCCGTCGCTCCGCACTGGCACCTCTCCCGTGCGAGAACTACAACGGTCGCATTCCCCTCCGCCTCGATTCGCGCCATGTCCAGGTGCATGTACATATGATGATTTATGATTTGCATTAATCGCAGGGCTCCTCGGAGAAGCTCATTTGCTGTCCTGCGCATCATCACGTCTTATCTCTATTGTCTATATCCCTGTCGAGCTCGCTTGCGATCACTGCGCGAAGACGAGTCAAACGACAATCTTCATCGACAACGACTTCCGCATCGGGCGATAATGCTGCCAAATTCGGCTGAATGTCGACAAGTCGGGCGGTGTGATTTGAGTTGATGGTAGCGAGCGGCGCTAAGCCCCGAGAAGCTTGCCTTGTCCCGCCGGCTTCCTCGAAGCATCTCTCCCACAGCGTCGACAATAGGCAAAACGCGCCGCACACGCAGCTCAGCTTCTCCCGCCCGTTGACACCATCGCATTACCCCCGCGCGTCGCGACGGCCTATTGTCTCGCTGCAGCTTCTCGCAATAATGCCCTAGCCTCAAAACAAGGCTCAAACGCCGCATGTATCGTCCTCAGTCACATGAGATAGCGTTTCTGCGGGTTATTGCATCCACGCACGCGCGTCGGGACTCCCAACAATCACGCGTGATCCGCCGTGTACATATGTCACAACTTCCCCGTCCTCGAGGCTCGAAACGCGTCGGTCGATGCCCTGATCAGGCAAGTATCCAGCACCCGCACCGAAACACGATCGGATCCGGACACCCAGCCAGGTTACTACGGCGAGTCGGTGACGCCTGCCCGTCACCCAGCCGACTCCGGGTCTTGGCGTCTATGCAATCACGGGGGTCGCTACCGCGCGAGCGACACGGCGTGATCCAGCCCGAGTCGGGGTCGGGTCGTTCGCTGCTGCGTTCCAGGCGGGTGTCCCGGATCCCGGTGCGAGGTCCCGTACCATTGCACGAGCTGCGGCGGGCCCCGGGTCCGCCCTTCAATGGCGCGGTAAGAAAATCTGCCAGCCCCAGTGTCTTATGGCCAGACGTCACTGAAGCCTGAGAGCACCGTCGGACGATGGCACAAGCCGCGGCAAAACGCTGAGCATATCGAAGCTCCGGCGGTCTTCTGCCTGAGGGCGTCGGCCCAGCGGCCGCCGGCTTCCCCAATTCGGGGCGCGAGAAACGTTCAGGCTCGGGATGCCGGAGACGACATGACTAACGAGCGATCCGCGCCGTCGTGGACGCAACGCAACGCCATGCTCGGTCCTCGTAGTCTCGTTCCCATCCGTTCTAGCGCTTACAGACAGTACCGCTAGAACGTCTGGTGCATTTCGGGCTCGGCAGAGGGCATTGTGACGATCAGTCACACCACGTGGGCTGACTAATGGCACGTGAGGGCTGTCGACACCGCATCGCGCGAGGCTGTTACCAAAAGATTGATGCCTGTTGTGTTCATGTAATCGATACATGCGAGAACGCGATCCTCGAGAGACATCCCACCAGCCTCCATGCTGTTGCTGAGCGCGCGGGTGTAATTCTCGTATAGTGTGGAGCGCGCATGCGTGCGAGGAGGAGGGTCGGCAAGGGGAGGGGGTGAGGAATCCACTTCTTCAATACATGAGTCCAGGTAATCGTCAGGATCAAATTCCCCGAGATCATTGTCGAAGGCTAGATATTCATCTTCCGCAAGCATAGTGGAGGTATAGTTACATGCAGACAGAAGAACGAGTGCGCGACATCGATCCCTCCGTCCCGTCGTGCGCCTTCGATGTGATGTTGTCACGTATGTAACGCCGGACCATGGACCGGTGACCCGCCTGTCACAATGCCCTCTGCCGAGCCCGAAACACACCAGACGTTCTAAAGCCTCTCTCCCCCGGCGCTCGTTTCCCCCCTCCAGATCTTTTCGAGATTCGTTCCATCAATTTTGCCTTCCTGTTTTGGTCTACTCCCTCCCGAGGCTTGCGGAGCGCAGCGACGCATCGAGTGCTGGGGCAGAGAGGCTGAAGAACGTCTGGAGCCGAGACTAGGTCCTCGAGGCATCATGACAATATTGACATGGCCACCAGCGCTGTTTCTCTAGCCATACGCAACCGCTACTCGCCACCCTTCATTTCCCGAGTCGCATGCAGCGATTTGTCCAACCATCTCGTACGAGTTGAGGTTTGCACGCGCGCGCCGGCAGCTGCCAGCTGGCAGGTTAACGTACTTTCCTGATGTCCACTTCGCCGCACGGAGGACGTCTTGATGACGGCGCAGTAGGCTTGCAATTGTTCTGCCTTCCGATCCGAGCCGCAGATTCGTCGGAGAGTCTCAGGCTTGGGGAGGGAAGATGAAAGGGACTGGGCCTTCGGGTCTCGAGTCCGGAGGTAGAATGATGGTGAGTGTCTTCGGACGTAATTTCGGTTTCGAGCCGCGCAGATGCTTATTGTGATAGCTGTGCACCGTCGTACTTACGCTGTCCGTCTGGCCGGCAGACAATATTAGCATCATACTCACGACCGTATGGACGCGAGAGTCGGCGACTATGTCGCTTTCATGTTCAGTCTTGTGCCACTTAGACCGCCATGCCGCCATCCCTCCCTTCGTCTTTCCTTTGTCGTAGGTCTTGGTCCTGCTCGTGTGCCCTCTCACCTTCTGCATAGATCCCTGCGCGTCCATCACAGGAGTACATCCCGACACTCTACTTAGCCATTACGCACTAGACCGTCCGCACCTGCGATGGCCCGGAGGGCATGCCGACCGTGGTCGGATCATCAATTCAGATTCGGTGCGCAGGGAGCTAGAATGTGGGATATTGATCGGACCAAGAACATCGCGAAGTGGCTAATAAGGGTCAGTGCAGGGCGCAGTCGCGGTCAGTACACATGTGCGCTCTTGCTCGGATGCGTCCTCCGTCATGTCGGCCTGCACCAGTGCGTCACGCAGATGAATATCTCGCTCCTACGGTCCAGATGACCTTCTTCGATCGTTCGAGTGGGGGCACTCGTTGCGAGGCTCGCTCGTACACACCCAATGCTCTCTGAATCCGTCTGGTAAGACTCATAGGCAGTCAGGGCTTTGTGGGTGCGGAGTCCATGGCACCCCGTCGGGCGCTCGCGCTCTGCGACGCCTTCTATTCAAAGCTTGTTTGATGTACTCTCGCAGGATCGCCCGCCGCGCCACGTTTTGCCCAGGCGTAGCGCGCTGCGTCATCCGGTGCTTGTAGGACTTGAACACATGTCGTCATACCAGGGCTTCCCGGGCGACAGAAGCATCCTCAAGCTCGCCCAGCCTCACCAGCGCGTCCCCGTACATCCATGCGCTTGTCATGCACGATCGTAGGGCAGAGAAAAGCCCAGTGCTGAACATTCCGGGCACGGTACGGAGACGGAATATCTGACTATGTATGTCTTGGTTTGTTTCGTTTCCAGGGCTCGACTGACCCTTTCCTTCACACTGTCAATTCCTTAGCGGCGGGCCGAGGCGCTAGGCTCAGATCGATATTTGTGCGCCTCCCTGAACGGATTAGCACTGTGATCAGCGCTGGAGGCATGATCCCAAGAATATTGCGCTCAGCGTTTCTCGTCATAGGGCGGTGCGCCACTGGAGAGGCGCGTCTAGACGGGTGGCAGTAGTAGCGTTCAAGCATGCTCGTGATTGTCGCGGCAACGCTGACAGAACCCGTGAATATCGACAGCAGTAGCGCTGAAGACCTTCCCTTTGAGCGGCCGTGGGTACGATTGAAGCCTAGGCCTTGACCAGGTAAGCTATGTACCACTGCATATAGCTGGTGTGGACGCCGCTCACGCAGTATGTCGGTTCAATACGTGGATAAAGACACTAGATCCAATATTGGTGTCAATACACCACAAGACCTGTCTCGATGCTGCCCGGTTTCATCCATATTGATCCCCAACGTCTATGTTCAATCCGGTAGTTGCCCTGGGATCGCCGATTTCCATCGAGAACTATCACTTCATCGCTTGCAATGCATGATCCAGCCCTCTAGTGAATATGGCATGGACGCTGCCACAGAAGACGCACACGATGAGTTGCTGAGACGAAAGCGGGCCGGCGATATCCATCACGACTATGTACACCACCGAATGGTGGTGACACAATACACACGATCCGTACTTCGCGGGCTTCCACCAAAGTCGACGGAAATCGCACCCACCGGTGCCCCATCTGGCGTCTACACGTCGGACATCGTGTGTGTGGCATCTCCTTGCTGTCGTTCGCATGTCCGCCTACGAGTTTAGAGTCGCATGGGCGCAGCCTCGTGGATCATACCGCGTACGCACCTCTCACAGCCGCGAGAACGTTCGTGTATGCCGCGTGATGCGCTAAGGGTCCACGGCCTACGTCGATCGCCATGATGGTGGGCGTTCAAGTTCGCGAGCCAATAACGGCCCAGAGGATTACTGAAGGAACAATGCCGTCATACAGGATCAATTACCGAGAACACGACTCATGGCCGCAGTGTTTAGGCTCGCTGCGCCTGGTAATCAACCGGCATCTTCGAAACACATCCCACACAACGACACTTGTGACGTTCACGACTTGGTGAGCAATGTTTTCCGGCTTCTTGAAGACAGTGTAGCACTCGTCCATATGCTTCCTTCGCACCTCGTTGGCGCTTGATTTCACCAGGCTGCTGCGTGCATCATGGGAAGCCTTTCGTCGCACGGGATGCCGTGTCGGTGATGCCGCTCTTACATTTGACGGATGCAATGCGTGTCAGTGCTGCGATGGTCTCCAGAATATTACTCTGCTGCCGATGCGCGAGTATCGTCTCCTCGTGGGAGATTCGAGTTGGGTTGAGTCGTACGAGCCACGACACAGCCTCCTGGATGTCTCCAAACTACTACTTCCTCGGTTCCTTGCCTCACGGTGTTCTGACTCCACGTCTGGTACTTGGTCAGACTCAGTTTCCTCACGTTTAGTCTGGCACGCCACAGATCGTCAAGCAAGTCCTCTTAGCCTTGTAAAGGGTTAGGTGCAACACTACCATTTCTTGCCCAATCAGTACTGATCCGATACTTTTCCAGTTGTAGATGCGTGGTCAACGTCCTCGCAAACTCCGCGATGCCGCTTTCAAGTTCACAGCCGGGACGATGTAATCTCTGACTCGCTTGTCTTTCCACGCCGGGACCTGGTGAACAGTTGCAGAAGGGGCTCTCGGTCCGAACTTACGGGAATTGATGTTACCGAACTCCTGTCACGTAAGTCAACTCTCCTGACGCATTTGCCAATGTATCTTCCTCCGCTCTAAGAATCGTCGTTCGCGTATGTGGCCATTTATGCAAACCATGGTTGTGCCACGAACGTCTTGGATCTCGACGACGACACCATTGAGGCGTTGGACGTTTGAGTTGAGTTGGCTGGTCGCCGTAAGCCCAGAGTTTGCCATGTTGCAACAGGCGGGGGAGCAAAGCAAACGCACGCCATTCCCCAGCTTACTTTCATCCACTTTTCTTGCAGATCTAAGCTCACCGGAGGTCCATTGAAAAGATATGTGCTGCTACCTATATGGCCTCCGCCACCTTCCTACACTTATCGTCGCGGAGACCACGGATTGAGATCCAGTCATTAGAACGTCAAGTGTTGAGGGTGGCACTCAATGCGGATATTGCCCCGCTTTTCAACGTCGAGTTGGAGGAGGCATCGTCTCGAGTCGAAAGGTGGTGATGAGTCGATAGCTTCTTTTCTACTGCTCCAGACGAAGATGATGAGTGTATTCTGGACATCGAGAGAGTGACCACCTACTGCCAATCGCAGACGCTAAGTCACGGTACATGTAAAACGAGGCTAGCTCGACCGTCTCCACTGTTGTTACGAAGGTCATTCCATCATCAGCGCCAGCGTCCGGCAAGAACCGGAAAATGTCATCACGAGCTTCCGGCAATTTGGAACGCGCCGCAGCCAGAGCTACTACACCCACTCATAAATTCTTTACCACCCAAAAGATCTGATTGCTTCACTGTAAGGTTGGCCCAACGAAGATTCGACCCCATCACGTGATTATCACGTGAGCTTGCGAGGTCCCTCGCTGCTTTCCCCTCCCTCTGCATTGAGGAAAAAACTTGGATAGGCGGCATGTATGGTACCACAGAGCCTATAGCTCAATTTTATACGAGCCGATACCCCGGAATCGCAGTGGAGGGGCGGGACACGGACAGTGTGACAGGCGTGACGGGAGGTGTCGAATCTTCGTTGGGCCAACCTTAGTCGAAGGTACCTCTTTCTCGCATCGAGCATACGTAACACTGTCTGAAATGGCGCATCTGCTAGGGAGCTAAAGGGTTCATCGTATACTGAACCTGCCGTCGGTATGTGTCTCGCTGGCAGGGAGAACGTAGCATCACTTCCAGGTTAGCTTCTAATCGATCATGAACTTCATCGCGTTCTATAACGGCCGCGGAGGCCAGAACGACTGGCCGCGTCACTGGTCTCCAAGAGTGACCCACTTCTTACTCCGTATGGCCCCTGATTCATGGTAGCTCGCTGGGATCCATCGGGTCAAGTAGTCTGTTCCAGTTGTCTGGGTATGTGTTCAGGACGTCTGCAGTACTTGCTTGCCTTTACCTCCGGGATGGTCGGAGAGCGTAAGTTCGGGAGCAATGGAGCTGATGGCCGGTTTAGTGACCTGTGTGGCTCCCGAGTCGCCGGGAGGGATACGTACTGCACGGCAAGTTGGCAACACCATATCAAACTTCGGCCTTCGGCACACAAATTTGGTGTACACCTGCACTCGCATGGCCAGCAAAGTACGACGAGTGTGTCCTTAAAACAGTCTAGAGTGCGGATTACGATCCATATCCCTCGTCGTGGTACACACTCCCTGTCGCTGACCTACCGGCTAGGTCACTGTACCGGCATCCACTGCAGTCTGCAAAGTGCGGGTTCTCCAAAATGTCTCTGATGACGCGCTTGGCAACATAGCCGCGATTGTCTGAGTGGGTCTCCTAGGATCACGGAGGTCATTTTGCTCAGCGGGATAACGGCAGCCTAGGCGTCGTAGACGCAACCGCGCGGACACTTCGGAGTAGCTGTGGCTTCATGCTTGAGGGCTGCGCAGGGGGTGGGCTTGATGCAATGAAATGCATCGAGCGCATCGAGACACTAGGACGGGCGGACGCATATAAGGTGTCTTGCTGAACGGGGTATAGTAGCATCTCACGACCTTCCCCGTCTCAGGTCTTCGCCTTTTCGTTACCTGTTCTAGCTCACTTCACTTTGTTCTGAAGCCGAAGACATGTTCTCTCGCCTCTCTTCGCTACTGCAATTTACGGTCCTCCTCGGGACTGCTACCGCTTCGCCGACACACGGCACTTCAACGGTTGTTCGTCCCGTCACACCTACCACGGTGTCTGTCTCGGCCTCCTCCGACTTCTCATCATTGCCGTCGTCATTATCTGCAGCCTCGTCGTCCTCGACCCTTGCGTCAACGCCATCTCCTTCGACACCTCTTGCAACTGCGGCCTTGGATAAAGCACAGGTCATCGGAATTGTCAATGGACCAGTCACCACCTTCAACGGCATTCCGTTCGCCGAGCCACCGTGAGTACACTCCATGATTCTCTAAGGGAGTGAGTTCATCAGTGCTTCGCTCCTTCAGAGTAGGCGACCTCCGTTTCCGCTTCCCCGTACCCGTTCACGGCTACAATGGCACGATCAATGCCACCCAGCCTGCAACGCAATGCATTCAGCTCGAGCCGCAGATTCGTGTAGACATGCCGCCGCAGATGCTTCAGGATGTAGAAGTCTACTCCACCAGCGTCCTCTCTTCGAGCTCGGCTCCACAAAGTGAAGACTGTATGTGTCAATCATACTAAGCCACTACGGACACTAACCTTCTGTAAACGCCTTAGGCTTGAACATCAACGTGCAAATACCTACTGGTACTAAGCCTGGAGCAAAGCTCCCTGTGGTTGCTGTATGTTGGAGTCACATATGGCCCGCGACAGATCGCTTACGCTCTTGTTGCCTTCATAGTTTATCTTCGGCGGCGGTTTCGTCGTTGGCTCGAATGCACAGTACGTATACGATTGCCGCTCTTGATTATCCACACATTGGGTCTGACTCAGCTTCATTCCTAGGATGCCCGGTGATGCGGTTGTCGCCAGGTCAGTCGAAATGGGGCAGCCCGTCATCTATGCTGCGATGAACTATCGCCTCCACGCTTTTGGCTTCCTCGGTGGCAAGGAGGTCAAGGACGCCGGCGTTGGCAACCTTGGTCTCCATGACCGTGAGTATATGCATCTAGTCCCAGCACGATCCCTGAACTGAGGGTACGGGTCCCGGGCCCAGAGCGCGAGGCTCTCCGCTGGATCCAGAAGAACATCGCCGCCTTCGGTGGTGATCCCCAGAAGGTCACCCTCTGGGGCCCATCCTCTGGCGCGATCTCCTCGACGCTCCAGATGGTCACGAATGGTGGTAATACTGAAGGCCTCTTCCGTGGGTCAGTCATGAGCGCCGGCTCCACAATCCCCACTGGGTACATTGAAGAGCTCCAGCCGATCTACGACCGCGTCGTTGATGCTGCAGGGTGCAACGTTGCTGATGACACGCTTGAGTGTCTACGCCAACTCCCCGCTGCCAACCTCACCGCGGCTGCTGGTACAATCCCAAGTCTCTTTGGCTATCCGGGTCTTGCTACTCCCTGGGCTCCTCGGGCGGATGGCAAGTTCTTGACCGCGCCTCCGGAGCATTTGGTACTTGCCAACCAGGTCGCGGACATTCCGTTCATCTCGGGGGACGCGCTGGACGAAGGCACGATCTTTGCCACCGGAAGCTTCAACATCACGTACGTCTTCAGTACCCATGCTCCTTCGAATCTATCGCTTATGATGTACACAGGACTGAGCAGCAGTTCCGTGACTACGTGCACCAGTTTTCTTCCCTCAC